CGGCCCCGCTTTTCTAGATCTCCAAAAACTAAAAAATGAAGTGACTAAAAGGTCTCTACAAAACAACTTCCATAGACAATAACACCTTTCCAGAGACCGGCAAACCAAACGTTTTCACTAGGTTCTTCGTTTTGCCTTCAAGTCAAATTAAAAGCAAAGGCGACAAAAGGTGCTAATTCTTGTTTTTGAACCAGCAGGTCGTTATTGTGGCTAGTGAAGTGGATCAGAAGGTTAATATTCGTAATACAGCCAAATCCTTTTATACCGTAGGGACCTTAATTTGCGTTAGTGTCCTCCTTTGGGAGATTCCGTAATAGAGGGAGTTTATGTCAGTCAAACGAATGTAATTCATTTATTTTTCCCTGGCCATGGGTGCTGTCCATATTATCGGGGTGTCCGCAAGGCGAGAGTTGACTGTGATGACCTCCTGTTCCACCTCAGTGACCTGCTCTTCGATTTATTGAAAATATTTTCAGAACAATGGAAAGGTGCATAAAAACCAGTTAAAGATAGTTTTGCGTAGAAAGCTCTTATACATGGTTCAACTTGAATGACTCAGAAATAACAACACGCTTGTCCACGAAAAACAGAAACTACAAGGGCGCCCAGATTTAGTTTAGAAAAGAACAATGAAATGAAAGAAACGTGACCTAGTGTTGACTGTGGGGAAAAACAGGACAAAATCCTACTAGCCCGCCTAGCAGGTACTTATAAAAATCTACGCAGGCTAAAAGCCCACGAAAGTAAACTCCTCAGAGAATGTCTTCCTAAACGATCAAATGTGACTGTCGACAAACAGCCTTGGCGGGATACTAAGATACCATGTAAATGTCTTCTTAACTGAAACTGTACTTATTACTCTACTAAATACTAACGCAAAAATCAAAATATCATGGTTAATGTAGTTATAAAGTTAACAATGTTTAACATCTCCAAGAATCAAGGCAATGATTTATTATAAAACAGGGCTAAAATCTACCTTTAAAGGTAATCCCTTTGAAAATAATTTACTCTCCAGATTTTTTCAAACTTGGCGCAAATGTTAGACATATATAGAACTTTTAAAATACTGCAATAAAAAGATAGGGTCACCGTGCTTGTTTTCGCCCTATGTGCCCATAATTCTGAGTGTATTTCCTAGTTCGGCGCGAAGTGTCCGAAACTTGAACAACCGTCAACAATTCTTAAAAAAATACAACTTCTACTGACTGTCCAGATTTTTTCCTTTGTGTGGCCATAACTTTATACACTGTATCTAATGGCTGTCTATGCTTAGGACAAGTCATCCAAACAACTGCTGATACCATGCACTAACTAGACGCATATTGGTTTGATTTCGTGTGAAAATTTAACTATGGCACCGATGTACAGTCAAAAGAGAGGGTTCTATTCACAGAGTCATTGTGTTTATAGTGTTCGATAACATCTAATTAGACGTAAAAACAGGAGATTTTCATACGCCCGCAAATTCAAAGGCTTTTTTCCACGATTCTATTGCGCCGTTATGATCCCCAACAGAGTCTTGTACCTCAGCAAGCCACTGGTAGCTGCACACCGTATTTTCGTGACATCCAAGCAGTTGTGAACTCATGTCTGCCGCTTTCTGTAAAGACGTCAGTGCAGAACTCGTATCACCCAACCTGAAATAAGCAAGTCCCAGAGAAAAAAAAATAGTAGCCGTATGCGTGTGGTTCCCTAACAGTTCTTGAAATAATTGTAGTGACTTCTGAAAAGACTCGACAGCCCCTTTAAAATCTCCCATTTCCATTTGCACTTCACCACGATAAAAGTAGCTGTACGCCGTATCTTCATGCTTACCAAGGAGTTTTGACCTCATATTTACTGCTGTCTGGAATTTCTCAAGAGCCAACTTGTTGTCATCCATCGCATGATAAACACGCCCTAGAACATGGATGCTCGTGGCTGTGTCCGAGTGATCTCCCAAACGTTTCTGCCTAATTTGCAAGGACTTCAGGACAGACTCGAAGGCTCCATTAAGATCTCCAATTTCCAACTGCACTGCACCGAGCCACAGATAGCTGGTGGCCGTATCATTGTGATCACCAAGGATATGTGCTCTCATGTACGCCGCATTTTGAAATGCCTCAAAAGCTAAATTAATTGCATCCATTGTCAAATGCAAACGACCCAGACTGTAAAAGGTGCTGGCGGTTTCGGCATGAGCCCCTAATAGTTTTCTTCTCATGTCTAAGGCCTTTTGCAGGGAAATCAAAGCCTCATCGTAGTCCCCCATGTAACCCTGTGCTTCACCAAGGCAGTGGTAGCTGTATGCCGTAGCTTTGTGTTCACCGAGTAGTTCTCTTCTCATGGATGCTGCTCTTTGGAGTTCTTCAATAGCTGCCTTATGATCATCCATTTCGAAATTAATAACTCCAAGAAAATGAATGTAACTTGCAGTATCGAGATGAATCCATGAAAGTTCATTTCTTAATCGCAAAGCCATTTGAACAGCCGTCAGTGCGCCACTGAGATCTCCCATTTCACGTCGTAACTCTCCAATTTTATAGTACCCCCTCGCCGTATTTTCGTGGTCATCTACAACAAATACAATATTCTAGTCAGGGGCGCGCGTGGCTAAAAATTTNGCAAGGACTTCAGGACAGACTCGAAGGCTCCATTAAGATCTCCAATTTCCAACTGCACTGCACCGAGCCACAGATAGCTGGTGGCCGTATCATTGTGATCACCAAGGATATGTGCTCTCATGTACGCCGCATTTTGAAATGCCTCAAAAGCTAAATTAATTGCATCCATTGTCAAATGCAAACGACCCAGACTGTAAAAGGTGCTGGCGGTTTCGGCATGAGCCCCTAATAGTTTTCTTCTCATGTCTAAGGCCTTTTGCAGGGAAATCAAAGCCTCATCGTAGTCCCCCATGTAACCCTGTGCTTCACCAAGGCAGTGGTAGCTGTATGCCGTAGCTTTGTGTTCACCGAGTAGTTCTCTTCTCATGGATGCTGCTCTTTGGAGTTCTTCAATAGCTGCCTTATGATCATCCATTTCGAAATTAATAACTCCAAGAAAATGAATGTAACTTGCAGTATCGAGATGAATCCATGAAAGTTCATTTCTTAATCGCAAAGCCATTTGAACAGCCGTCAGTGCGCCACTGAGATCTCCCATTTCACGTCGTAACTCTCCAATTTTATAGTACCCCCTCGCCGTATTTTCGTGGTCATCTACAACAAATACAATATTCTAGTCAGGGGCGCGCGTGGCTAAAAATTTTGCAGAGGCACAAACACTCACTTACGTATCAACGGCCCTACCCCGTCTCCCAATTCGGTTTCACGCGGGGTCGTGATTAAATTTCCGCTTTTTTTATCAATGTCGGCGAGGCTATGATTTCTCATGGCCTTGGGATCATGTACTTTTAGGCAGCAGTTGCGGCTTTCGCCAGTTGCAAATAAATAACAATCATTTACTGAAGTGGAGATGGCTAGTGGTGGTGATTTTTCGGAGCCACGAAGCGGCGAAATAAATATCCACTACCGAAACTGAGGTGAATAATTGTTTTAGTTTATAATGGTTTGGCAATACAAAGCGCTACAAGTATGGACCCTAAACAGCAACGACTTTCCTCACTGAAGGGTTACCTAAAGTACACAGCAAAGGAAACTAAACAGCCATCCATACATAAGCAAGTGGAAAATATGTACAATATTAAACTAGAAATATAATTTAAATATGCCGACCAAATCTGTCACATAATTTAGCAAAAATTCTAATTTTTAACTCATTTATTACTGCCAACGATTACATTTTTGGCGCACAAGTGACCGAACGGCCCTCACGTTTTCTTGCTGACAAACAAAACTTTTGAAGGCAGTTTTTTAGCCCTTGCGGGTCATTTCTTTTAAAGCGGTCGAGAATTCGTTTTGTTTTTAAAACCATTCTGTATATAAAAAACATGAAATTTATGTTTTAATGTTATTTAATAAGCATAAAACTAAAGTCAATATAGGTTTCTTTTACACTATAGTCTCAAAAATAGAAAGAATTCACTACTATTTTGAATTTTTTATTATTATTATTAGGCCATCCCTTTTTTTTTCTTCATTCACCGTCAAATGCGTTTCCTGATATTGGGTCGGTCGCTCGGATTGAAAAAAAAAAAAACCTGAAAAAAATCACAAGAAGTCTCGGAATAGTAGGCCCTGGTACCCCAGGACGACGTTAAAAGTTAACATTCACATATTTGGATTAACAAAATGTACAGTATACTGTGAAAAATGTACATGTTTTTGTTCCTGTTTTTCTCGATGCTGTTACTATGCTCATTTTTCAGATTAAAAGAATTATCTCAAGTGAAAAATGGTGTAAGTACGTCGTTACTTTTTTTTTTTTTTTGAAAATGCCAAAAATTTGGGTCGGTCGTACGACGGTAAAAGGAGAAAAAAAAGGGGATGGCCCTGCTATTATTATTTAGGACTATTATTATTATTGCAGGAAAAAGTCACATTCATGGACACAAGGAAAATCGGTTAGAATTATTCAAATCCAGAAGGCACTTTGGAGAAATTAAACAACCTAAAACTCTTAATCAGCCGCAATGAAGAACTTTACATTTCTAACGAGGCCAAAAAAGAAAATGCTCTTGCATAAGAGGGCAAAGAGGGCAAATCATGCCGACCAGAGCAAATCAATATGCGTGTCACGTCCTCTCAGTATGCAATATATTTAATAAGCGGCCAAAATTCACATTTCCTCAGTCAAAACGTTTTCCTAGAAAGCATAATCTACCCGACAATAAAAACAATTCATTGGAACAAGCAGCATTTTGGCACGAGGTAAAAGTCATGTGTTGCCTACCGATCCCCCTATTTAACATAGGTCGGATAACAATGACGGTCGGCATTTGCACGGAACTTGAAGAACTCTTTGCATGAACAAACATCTGATAAATAAGGCTGTTGGTAGGACACAGAAAACATCCTTTTCCCTGAGCAGCAACTCCCAAGCTTCCCCCTGCTCCGATTTTAAAACAAATTCCAATTCTTGCGTGAGCAAATCAACAGCTGCTGTAAGGTTTCGGCAGCTTCGGTAACGTCGCCTGAAGCGTGTTGTGAATCACTGAGACATTTCAAGCTTAAGGCCGTCTCCGTATGGTCACCAAGCAACTCTTTTCGTAACTCGACGGCCTTTTGAAATTGTTTGACAGCTTCCTCGTACCTGCACATTTTGTGGTAGGTAATTCCTCTTTGATGGAAGATGGCAGCTGTAAGGTTGTGACTACCCATATGTTTTTCCCTGAGTCGTAGGCTTAGATCTAAGGCACGATGAAATGAATTTTCAGCCTCCTTATATCTTTTCATCTCCAAGTAAATGACGCCCTCGTTATTTAGGCTCGGTACGGTCTCCACACTATCTCCTAGGTTTTCTTCCTTTATCCTTATCGCCCACTGTAGTAACATGAGAGCTCTACCGTAGTCTTTCCTTCTAAGATATAGTTCACCAAAATTGTTTAAAACTCTTCCGAGGCTTACGAAACATGCTTGAGCAAAGTGTTCATCTTTTGACTCAACTAGGATACGTTCAAGTTCTTCACAAGCGGTAACGAAATTGTCTACATCAGCAGTAGTACCATTAATATTTTCACAGACTTGCGTGAGCGAAATCAATGATTCAATAGTCCCTTTAATTATAGAACTGTCATGCGCCGTTTCCTTCGTTTCTCGTAGAATACTGGTTCTTATTTCTATAGCTTTCTTAAAGGAACAATGGGCAGCCTCGTACTCCTTGAAATTTTTTTGCGCCTCACCGAGTGAGTGGTAATTTCGGGCCGTGTCCTTGTGGACTCCCAAGACATCTTCCAGTTGACGAGCTATTAACTCAAAGCCTTCTTCTGCCTCCTTATTACAATCTAATCTTTCTAACCCTTTGCAGCAAGTCTCTAACACCCTGGCAAGGACACGACCTTCTTGAAACATCACCAAAAGAACTTTCTGCAGCCTTAGAAGAGAACTGGTGATAACAGATAGTTCCATTTCAAACTGATCACCGAGAGATTTGTAAAGGGGAGGAAGCAATTCAGCTGTCAAAGCAAAAAAGAACGCATCTCGTTCAGCAACAGATTCTGGAAGACAGCGCACATTTGATTCTCTAGATGACAGGGTGTCTCTTGAAAATAGACTACAAAATGCAGGGCACAATGATCCAGACTCACTCTCAATGCTGCAGGTATATGACGCTATTTCATCGTTTTGTCGATTCCTGTGGCAAACTGCAAGGACATGGTAGGCTAAGATCATAAACACCTTTTCACCGTAGTCATTATTCAGACGATCTACAGAACGCTTAAGAAGCAATATTCCTTCTTCAAGCTTACCACAAAGAAGTTGATAAATACCACCATAACAGAGTAGTTTTGGTGGACAATCAGGAGCATCAATGAAGCTATGTTGCAAGGGACTGTCAAGGTTTTGTTCATTTGAGAAAAAGAAACCTAAATAACCAAAGGACTTTGCAGCAAGCAGTTTACGTTCGATGTCACATTGCTTCTTCCTCCTTGCCTCTTCAACAGCATTGTCATAAAGCCTGTTAAAAGTCAGTTGCTCGTCATGTAAAACAGAAAAGAGAAAAAGTTCTGCCCTAGACAACACCTCTGTCGTCTTGGCGTACAGCTCGTCCTTTCTTGTTCCATTAGCTAGCGATTTAATGATGTTTTCTCGGCGACTTACAAACTTTTCAACGGCGTCATTAGAATGGCCTGTAAAAAACATTTTATTAGCATCCTCGAAGCTGCTGATGTAATATCCGTAAAAGCGAAGTTGTGCTCTGTCAAAAGTAGTTTTAGTTGCACCGTCACAACATTTATTCTCATCAATAAAAGATCGTAGTAACGAATGAATTGTGAAAGAGCAAAAATTTCCGCGGGATTCTATTAACGATTTTGCTTCCAGTGCTCGTAAAATTTTCTTGCTAGTTCGTTCTGGAGCTTTTTCTAAGCCCATTACGGCCTTAGCTTCTTTAGCTTCAAAGTTACCAGGAAAAACGGCCAGAGATACGAACGCTTCTCTCTCTTTGGGTGACAGTCTTTGAAAAGACGTGTTTATTAAAGACTTTAATCTTGAACTGTGAGGTAAACGGTCGTCGTCCAAAACCTCAACAAGAGTTGAAGTCTCCAGCCCCTCTAAGAGTTCATTTAGAGGAACGCTCTCTTCTTTCATGATGCTACACATAAGACGCATGGCCAGGGGAACCTGTCCACACTCTTTTAGTATGCTACTGCAGTTGTTCTCTGATACACTTGGCAACAGTGATTTTACTAACTTGGCCGAGGAAATCTCGTCCAGTATTCCAACTTTCTCGAGATGAATGGGAACCTCATGCTTCAAATAGTCTAGAGATTCACGAGTAGTAAAGAGAA